CACGGGGCAGTATTATGCCGCTGGACCACTCTCCAACGGTATATTTTGGCTGCAATCTTGCACTTGCCCTGTTGTTTTGATGGTCCTTTGGTGGTGTTTGGGCTCATTTAGTTTCTGTTAGTCTCTTAACTGTCATTTGGTTAACTAGTTTTTGTTGCTTGCTAAGACCATTTTGCATGTTTGTGAGCAGAGTCAAACAATTCAAATTCGATTCAAGTTCAACTCTTTTTGAAATTGATTCAAATTTGACTTGTTTAGAAAACGAAAATGAACGAAATTTGAATAATTTTTTGAACTTTTTCGGCTTCTCTATATAATAAAACAGGATGGAACTTGAATTTTATCCCCACTAAATCACACCCACACCCACTCCCATAGTGCGACTGCCTCCCTCCTTCTACTCTTCTCATACATAAACAATGCACCCAAACCCCCCAGCAATCACACACACTCACACAGTCTGCACGCATTCACACATGCAACCACTCCTCAATCACACACACACACACACTATGAGTTTGGGTGTATTTTTTCTACCCTTTTAAAATTTTTTCTACAATTTTAAATGTGCTGGGAATTGAAGTATTAGTTGAAATTGGGCTATTAATGCATTGCCATTATGTTTTAGGAATTAATTTATTGGGAGTTGCATTGTTAGTTGAAATTTGGTTATAGTTGTATAATGAGTTGCTCTTGCATTGCCTATTTGATTAATTTTGATCTACTTGAATAAACTTGACTGATTGCAATTTGGCTATTGATGTGTTGCCATTGTGTCAATTTAGGAATTAATTTATTGGGAGTTGGAGGCACATCAATTGTTCGATGAAAAGTCTCACAACAATGAATACGTATATGTTTGTGTGTATAATGTTTCCTTTGTGAAGAAAGACACAAGCTTAAAGGGAATTGATGGTCATGGGTTTGAAGCTAGAAATGCAGAACGTAGTGTTGGTGGTGCGGTTATTTATTTAACGGATTGTCATATGACTACAAGTATATTTAATCTAACTCTAAGGTTAATTTGGTTGTGTAGATTTTGTATTCATAAATATTTAAATGTATGTGCACACCCCTTATTTATAATGTTGTCTAAGATTGATTCACGTGATATTCTTAGGTAATTTTACTGGATAAATTTTCTATTCATGTGTATACAAATGTATATGAGTTGTACGTCGTTGATCTACTCTAAATTTTCTATTCCTGTTTTTACTGTGTAAATTTTTTATTGTTTCTTTTATACTCTAATCTGTATTTCATATCAAATGACCTACCTTTGTCAATTTGGACTCCGTTGATATACTCTAAATATTTTTATTGTTCTTATTATAGTTTCTTTTTGTGTTTGGGATGGTCTAACAGTTGTTGATCTTGAAATTGGATTGGCATGAAGACAAAGAGAAGAGTAAAGCACTAAAAAATAGTCTCCAGTCTTCACAGTGCTGTGATGCAATAGTTGGAAACGTTCAATGAGAGTAATCGGACTGTTCGCCCCAATCATTCTCACAAATTTCAACTATTTTTCGTGTCTAGAGGTATCAAAGTATGGATCTTTATACATATTTTCTACTTTGGTAAAAAAGTGGAGCTCTTGAGAACATCATACTTATTATTATTAGACACATGAATTAAGTGATGTGGATTTTTAGATGTTTTAGTAGTTGTGGTTACATACTCGACTTATTCATATATAAAATAGTTGAATTATTCAAATTCTATCAATTAATACTTGTTAAATACTTCTCAATTGTGTCGTATCATGTTATTTTGTATCATGCCATATCATTTTCCTGTTGCGTTCAAGTCGGTAAAAAAATGTTTTTAACAAAAAATATTTTTGTGTCGAGTCAATTGCGTTATGTCATATATTTCATATTTACAACAATTTATATAATACTATTAAATATTTTTTAAAAATTATAAAAATACTTAATGTTTACCTACAATGCTCATTGAATAGCTATTTTCTGTCTACAGTTGTGTTATTCATATCTAAAATTAATTTGATCAAACAGTCAAAAAATTTGTGTCTAATTGTAAACATAAATAGTTATTTAACAAGTATAATAAGCAAAAAATATGTATTTTATAATTTTTTAAATTTTAAAAATATTTTTTATTGATTCGAACATCACACAAAAATGTTATGACACAATACAATTGAGAGTTAATTAACGAGCATCGATGAAAGAAATACTTTTTGGATCATAAATATGAAAATTTTGAACTTTAAGGCTGCAATTTATAATTAGTCCAAACTTTTTTNAAATGATTAAATGATAAATCTCAAGGCTCTGAGTGTAATTCTCCCTAAAAAAATTTGAGGCAAAATCCGCGTTTTTCAATTTTGGGTTGTTTCCTGAAACATCAGTTTTTTGTTCCCATTTTTTTAGCTTGTTTCCAAGACAATGTAGATGACACAAAAACAAAAATAATTACCAAACACGTTTTTGTTTGTTTTTTTTTTGGACAAAAACTCAAAACAAAAATATAAAACAACAAACAAACAAACAATGCGGTATAAAATTTTGAGATTCATTTTGCGTAGGAACAATAAATTTTGAGATAATTTGTGATATTAATTGGCGGTTTGGTTAGTTTTTTGGGAGGAGTTTGAATTGGATTGTCCAAACCCTTCAAAACCCAAAGATGAGATTCAACATTCAATGCTGTCTATACCCATGTTTGGTATGCGCACGGATATATGACTATTATGATAATATATTTGTATATAAATGATTATTATGCCCCTTAACCAAATTAATTCAAACCCATGTTTGTTTACGTATGGGGGTATAAATATCATTTTGTATATTAAACCCATTAACCCCCATATTAAACCCATGCCCCCTCCTCCCCCCACCGGGTTTCATGAAACCCATGAACTTGGGTTTAAATTGCGAGCTGAGTTTTGTAAACTGGGTTACAAATGTAGATGTCAAACATGAGTTTGTTGGGTTTTGTGGACTTTTATTCCTCAACCCATCTTCCAAATCCCCCCTTATCCCACATACCAAGCAGGCTCTAATAGTATGAGACAAATCAAGATAGTATCATATGTCGGATGATATTTTTTTTAATCATGAAATGATCTTAATCATTTTTTTGTCTTTGAATTCAAAACTTGTTCTATTCTATTATATAAATTAGTAATTGTTTGTGTCTGAAGACACTATTTAACAAAAAAAAAAATTACAAGCAAGCTTGAAGACAGTATAACACAAAATATAGTCAATCAATCAAACCACCTAAAACTACCTTCAACTATTCAATCCAATATGTTTCAGAATATTTGGTACATCATAATATTTAAAATTAAAAAGTAGTGATACATTTCATAGAATCAAGACTAAAAAAAATGATATCTAATATTGGATCTAGAAGATGGATAGATGTACAAAATTGAATAAAAGAGAAGAGGATATTATATTAGTCACAAAAATCAAATACCAACCAAATGCAAATTGAAATTTATTCCAAACTCTCACAAAACATTAGATTTTTTTTATTTTTATTTTTTGGTCAAGACAAAGCATTAGATTTATAAGAGTATTTAACTCAGTTTTTGATGTAGAGAATATCCATTAGTTAACATAGTTATGTTAAATCCATATCAAGAACGTTTGAAACAAAAAAGAAAGTAAAGCTGAGACATTGGCCTGATATTTAATCAAAGTCCAACACACAAATCTCAGTTTTTTAATCTGAAACTAAGCACAATGGCTAGGGAAAAGATTGAGATAAAATCCAAATTGAATTTAATGGAAACTTATCATCTTTTTAGTGCTTGTTTTGAATTAATTGCTTCATCTAGGTATGTGAGTTTGGCAAATATATCATCTTTTTGGTTTGTCAACTTAGTACAACTACAAAAGCTCTCTACTTTTTGGGTTTAGAGAGTAGGTTTATATGGCCCTAGAGTGCCTACTTTTTGAAATTATCTAGCATATTGGAAATGACATAAATTCTACAGTTGAGGCTTTACCTGACCAAGATTGATGTTTTATGCTATAGACATTGGAACGCCTCTGGTAAACTTGTATACAGGGTTCTAGTTTGATGGATTCAATAATGCCATTTGAACATGTTCACTCTACTTGACTCATCAAAGTCTAGGACCTTCTTTTCTTCTATTTTCCCATCTTTTTTCCCCTTTTTAATGGATACTTGTTTTTTTTTTCTTTTTAAATCATGTCTCAATTTGGGAATCTCTTTCATAAGAAAAAGGTGGGCTATTGGTTTACCCCCATACTGTGCAAATTCTAGGACTAGCAGTAAATTTTGTTTTTGTTTTTTTTAATAAGAAACCAATCTAAGGACAATCACTACCTCCCTCCCAAGTAATAGATGCCTAAGTTGATAACAAATAGTCTCAAAAGCATTCCAATCAAGTGACATAACAAATTATGAAACTAACTTCTAGCTTTTGGAGATCCCACCCTTGTGAAAGAGTAATTAGCAAGGAGTTACAGGCAAAAATCCAACAGGCACCTATAATTGCCATATGAAAAATGCTATTCATATAAAAAAGTACTTTTTCCAAATGAGTTGGTGGGGTTCAAGAGTGATATGGAGGTGTGAACTCATTTAGTAAAAATATCTTTTGATAAATATTTTGATAGGCATGGCATTAGTCTTGCCTTATAGGCAAGTTTCAAACTACAAATTAGACCATTCACTGGACAAACACATGAGAACAAGCAGAACCACTACAATTTTACCTCTTAAAATAGTATTTTTCAGCTGAAAATTCAGCTCATGGTACAATCAAATAGTATAATGCTCAACATTGTCAAAATCTCTCTCCCAATCTGGCAGAAACTGCTCTAAGTTTTGAATAAACCTTGCCAGCAGGGGACCCCATGATAAGGCTACAGAGAGAATCTCTTGCAATTTTGATGCTGGCAAAAGAACCCAGTATATGTATTTTGGTGTCTGCAATCACAATCCCAGTTTTCGTAGAGTTCTCAATTGCAAATTTAGTTTTACCCCCTTTACTAGATAATCTTCCAATGGCACGAGACAAAGTGCTCGCCTCGAAGGGTTTTCACATCTTTGATCTCAAAAGACTCCACATAGAGTTCGTCCATGTGAAGAAGTGCAATGGCGTCAATCACGTCGAATCCAAGCATGAAAGCGTGCACTAAATCAGCACATTTTTGGAGGTTACTGATGTCGGGTGTGCCTGATCTGGTCTTCAATTCAACCTTGCGAGCCTTGAGATTCACACGAATGTCGATTTTCATCTGCTCGTACATATGAGTGTAAATTTCCATCCACGCTTTCTTGAGAGGTGTATATCAATGCGGTGGTACAGAGACTTTCTTGAATTGAACTTGACCGTCGAATATCTTGTGAGCCTTCAAGGGTGCAAAGTTTGGTTTTGAAGCAAAAGATACACGGTTTGATTCAGATGGAACTTTTTCAAGTTCCATGGAGGTGGCACATTCNAACTTGACCGTCGAATATCTTGTGAGCCTTCAAGGGTGCAAAGTTTGGTTTTGAAGCAAAAGATACACGGTTTGATTCAGATGGAACTTTTTCAAGTCCCATGGAGGTGGCACATTCATCGGACTGCTTCGTATGATCTGTAAAGAGAGATGCGAGCGCTTTCCAAAGAGAGAGAGAGAGAAGGAGAGAACCGAGGGGGAGGAGGTGCCGAGGTACAGCTACAGAGCCTGTATCCTCTTCGGGGGTGTTTGGCAATTCATGGATGGACTAGACTGGCTTGGATTTAAATCCCAAATCAGTCTTGTGAAATCCCAGTGACCCGGATTTGTAGGGGGATAAAAGTAATTTGTGTTATCCAATCTCTGCTTTGGATAGTGCATTATGTTGTGGTTGGGATATGGACAAACTACATTTTTTTATTAAACATCTAATACCTTTGATATTAATTGACCATTTTACCCTTGAATCCTATCCAATCCTATCTCCTTTTTGGCTTGACAATTGACCATATTAATTGATCAATGTTGGTTACCACTTTGTATGATACAATTTCTACACTCCTCATGAAAATAGGCAATGTCTCTGGCCGTCCCCATTGCAACCTGAAATCTAACATTCCAAGTCAAACTTTGACCATCCTTCTTCAAATACACACTCAAAGGACCACAAGGCATGTAATCATCAACAANATTGTTCAGTCGAATGAATGTGAACTGACACCTCTCTGAATGCTCCATTTGTTGCATGTTGCCTTCACCTCTGGGTTCCCAGTCTACAACTCTTGGGACAAAGCCTACTAATAGCTGATACATAAAGGCGCATCGAGCAAATAGAGCTAGAGCTACTTAGACCATTTGGTTGTTAAACGACCAAATTACCCCAAGTAAAGCTAAAGAATATTGTGTTCATTATAGTTTGACCCCTTGTTTATTTTTTAGTTTTATTTCAATAGATAGTATAATTAAATACTAATTATGATTTTTTAAGGAAAAAATAGATTTTTATTTTTGATTTTATTTTAATAAATGACATAATAGAATATGAATTTTGGTTTGTAAAATTCATGTTATGTTATGAATGACTTAAATCCCATGCTTGATTTTTTTTTAATTTTGTTCCAAAAGATAGTATAATTGTATACTAATTATGATTTTTTAAGAAAAATTTGAATTTTATTTTTAAATTTATTTCAATAAATAATATATTTTGGTTATAAAATTTAAAATATTTTATATTATATATTTGATTGGATATTTTTTGTTTAAGTATATGATTTTAAACTTAAGGGGTATAAATATTATATACTTACAAACTTTAAGGGCTTTGGATATAATTTATTAATGGATATAGTAACAGACATTTGACGGCAGAGGTCTAAATGTTACGTGTGTACAAATTTTAGGGGGTTTGTGTGTAATATTTTAAATTTTAGGGAGTTTAAATGATTAAATGATAAATCTCAAGGCTCTGAGTGTAATTCTCCCTAAAAAAATTTGAGGCAAAATCCGCGTTTTTCAATTTTGGGTTGTTTCCTGAAACATCAGTTTTTTGTTCCCATTTTTTTAGCTTGTTTCCAAGACAATGTAGATGACACAAAAACAAAAATAATTACCAAACACGTTTTTGTTTGTTTTTTTTTTGGACAAAAACTCAAAACAAAAATATAAAACAACAAACAAACAAACAATGCGGTATAAAATTTTGAGATTCATTTTGCGTAGGAACAATAAATTTTGAGATAATTTGTGATATTAATTGGCGGTTTGGTTAGTTTTTTGGGAGGAGTTTGAATTGGATTGTCCAAACCCTTCAAAACCCAAAGATGAGATTCAACATTCAATGCTGTCTATACCCATGTTTGGTATGCGCACGGATATATGACTATTATGATAATATATTTGTATATAAATGATTATTATGCCCCTTAACCAAATTAATTCAAACCCATGTTTGTTTACGTATGGGGGTATAAATATCATTTTGTATATTAAACCCATTAACCCCCATATTAAACCCATGCCCCCTCCTCCCCCCACCGGGTTTCATGAAACCCATGAACTTGGGTTTAAATTGCGAGCTGAGTTTTGTAAACTGGGTTACAAATGTAGATGTCAAACATGAGTTTGTTGGGTTTTGTGGACTTTTATTCCTCAACCCATCTTCCAAATCCCCCCTTATCCCACATACCAAGCAGGCTCTAATAGTATGAGACAAATCAAGATAGTATCATATGTCGGATGATATTTTTTTNCAAATCCCCCCTTATCCCACATACCAAGCAGGCTCTAATAGTATGAGACAAATCAAGATAGTATCATATGTCGGATGATATTTTTTTTAATCATGAAATGATCTTAATCATTTTTTTGTCTTTGAATTCAAAACTTGTTCTATTCTATTATATAAATTAGTAATTGTTTGTGTCTGAAGACACTATTTAACAAAAAAAAAAATTACAAGCAAGCTTGAAGACAGTATAACACAAAATATAGTCAATCAATCAAACCACCTAAAACTACCTTCAACTATTCAATCCAATATGTTTCAGAATATTTGGTACATCATAATATTTAAAATTAAAAAGTAGTGATACATTTCATAGAATCAAGACTAAAAAAAATGATATCTAATATTGGATCTAGAAGATGGATAGATGTACAAAATTGAATAAAAGAGAAGAGGATATTATATTAGTCACAAAAATCAAATACCAACCAAATGCAAATTGAAATTTATTCCAAACTCTCACAAAACATTAGATTTTTTTTATTTTTATTTTTTGGTCAAGACAAAGCATTAGATTTATAAGAGTATTTAACTCAGTTTTTGATGTAGAGAATATCCATTAGTTAACATAGTTATGTTAAATCCATATCAAGAACGT